TTCCTGTAAATTCAGCCAAAGGGGAAATAACTCTGGAGTGTGTCCTTGACTGCCAAAGATGCTAACCAAAACATGAACCCAAATAAATGACACTGGAATCAGTCCTATTTTATTTGCCTGACATTTCCAAGAAGCACGATCATAATGTGGAAAGACTTTTGCCTGAAACAATAAAAAATTTCCCTCTCTAATTAAAATGATTCTGGCTCAGCTGTTGAACCACCACTTGTATCAAAAGCTGGCTTCGCGGAGGCAACATGACCTGCGCCTACACATTTCCACGTTTTTAGTTTATTTTTATTTTATCGACTTTTGTCCCGCTTCTGGGACTGTGCGCTCTGATTCCGAGAGCTCCACTTAGTCCCCCGTTGCAGTTTTTAACTTTGCAAACAAAATCGCTTTGTCTTGTTCCCAGGAGAGGAAATGATTCAGGTCAGAGTATTAACAAAGAATGTAAGAACTGGATGTGGGCGAAGTGCTGGAACAATTTACTCAACTAAGTGTCACAATAGTTCCAAACATCGTCATCATATGTGCTGAGGGTCAGACTCCCTGAGATGGTGTGATTAGGACATTACTCTCTCTCTATATAAATATATATTTATATATATTTATATATATATACAGTTATATATGTTAAAATATATGTGTGTGTACTGTATGGATGTATGTATGTGTATATTTATATTTATTTATATACAATATGTGTGCTTAAATATATACATATACATGTATGTACATATATTTATATAAATATATGTATATATGGGTATAAATATACATAGATACATACTGTATATACATATAAATGTCTGCATGTACATATATGTGTATATATGTATGTACATATATGTGTGTATATATATATATATATATATATAGATATAGAGATACACATATACATACACAGCTGATGCTCCGCAGTGCTCCTCAGAGACACTCCCTAGAGGCTGCAGTAGCCAGCAGGTAGGCGTAGCTGCCTGTGAGACAGTGAGCTCATGGGACTTCCCCAGGGTCCTGGTACTGTTCTGTACTTACCTACTTAGAAAGTGCATTTGTAATCTGAAAGCAGCCGCCAACAGCCTCTTTACTGTCTGCAGGTACGAGCTGATCATCTAGGATTAGAGCAGACAGAGTGGCACTCAGCCACTGCTGAGTGTGCAGGGGTTAAAGCATGTCTAGCCCGGTCCTGTGTCATCAAGAGTTTACTTAAAATGTGCGGGTATTATCTAGCTCTTTCTGCGTAGGTGTGTGTGTGTGTGTGCTGGTGCGCACCAGTACTGTTATACAACTTTGTTCCGCGATGATGGATACTGTGAATGATACGTGCTCATCGGTACAGATTAAACCTCAACGGGAAGATGTGTCCCTCTTTTGTCTCATTTGCTCCTGATGGGTCCCCCTGATTACACGTGTACGCAGTACATGCAGTACGAGCAGAGGCCTGTATTCCCTCCGGCACTTGCACGCTCGCTCCTGCAGCCAACAAGCAAGACAGTGTCTACAATTATTCATAATCCAGGGCCTGAGGGTGCTGTGGTTCAGTGGGTGAAGTGGGTCATCTTCCAACCATATCAGGGGCGGGGAAGGGGGGGCGGGGGGGGGGGGGCAGGAAAGGTCGAGGTGGTTGGAAACCACTGCTTTAAAAAATGAACTTAGGAGCATTGACTTTATTCAACTTTTTAGCTCCCGTGGGCCACACAAAATGAATTGGCGTACCGTATTTGGCCTGCGGGCCTTGAGTTTGACACATACGCTTTACAGCAATGTGTCAGATGGCTGGTAACTGATAGTTTTTCTGTTCACATATGTGTGCATGTATTCCTCCCACAGTCTGATGTAATGCTGGTTAACTGGTTAACTGTTCAATTTGAGTTGACCACAGGTGTGAATGTTAGTGTGAATGGTCTTTTGTCTCCATGTGTGGCCCTGTAATGAACTGGAGAACAGTCCAGTTCCAGCCCCACAGCGACGGTAGAAGATGAATGTACATATGTACATTAATACATCAGTACTGCTATTATATCACCCCCTACTGGCAAAACGGGAAATATTTAAATTAACCAAACGCCAAGATAAAATTCCTGCATAAGAAACTTTCTGCGTAATCGTGCCATCAGAGTTCTCATCATCCCAGATCCTTATCTTATCTCCTGCAGGGAGGAATCAGGAGGAGACTTTTTTTTTTATTTTCCCTCCCTCCCTCCCTCTCTCCGTCCCTCCCCTGCTCCCTGTAAGTGCCAGTGACTGAGGCTGTGGTCACGGAGCATTCCTGGGGCAAGCCCACAGTGTTCTCTGGGTTGCCTGTACTAAAGTGTGGAACTCTGCAAGCCACTCTGCTCCCTGTGGTGCTGGTATGGTGAGCGGCCTGCTGGGCCTGCGGTGGCGTTGGTAACCTTACGTATGAAGCCCCCGTAGAGAGAAGAAAAGAAGGGAAAGACAGGAAACAGGAGCTCTCTGACTGTTGGGCTGATCATTTTCTCTAATGAGTCTTTGCAACAATCGTGGCGTGATGGGGGAGAACGTACAGTTAATGAGGAGCTGCTGTGATGTCACTGTACCATGTGACCATCTGGTAACAAAACATTAGGCTCTCTGTGAAACTCATTAACAGTCAGTGTACTGCAGTAATGACTCTCCAGAAACATGCATCCGTCTTGTATTTATCTCCCAGCAACAGTCGTTGGGACATTGAGAAAGTTCTGCCTCGGTGTGAAACAGCTGGTCATTGATGCCGACTTTTGTATTTTAGCTCCAACACATCATTTTGAAAGGGTTATTTGGTGTCTTTTTGATGTTGAACATGAACACTTTTGAAATCAGACAGATTTTTTTTACCCAAACTTGAATAAAAACCTGTTAAAATTATATTAAAATATAATATAATATAATATGTAATACATAGGGAAAAATAAGGGTTGTCTTTTTACATTTTTATATATGTAATACATAGGGAAAAATAAGGGCTGTCTTTTTACATTTTTGGTCATTGGTCATCGCAAAGGGTAGTTGTGGATTAATCATGATTAATCGTGATTGCAATCGATCATGATTAATTGATATCAATCAACATTCCTAAATACAAAGAAATAAGGGGCGGTGGTGGTTTGGTAGTTAAGGAAGTGGACTTGGGTCCTGAAGGCTTCAGGTTCGAGTCCACCAGCTGCCAAGTTGCCACTGAGGTGCTCTGAGCATGGCACCGTCCCCACACACTGCTGCCCCCTGCTGACTTTGGTGATGGGTTAAACGCAGAGGTCGCATTTCGTTGTGTGCAGTGGTGTGCTGTGTCACAATGACAAATAATTCACTTTAAAAAATGTCTCTGTTTTACCAGAACAATGATGAACAGCTGGGAGACGAATGTGTAAAATATTTTTAAAAAAAATACAGCTCATTTTTTCTTACTAAGATATAAAACTGTTTTGACTTGACTTTGTGTTAGAATCTTTTGACTTCCCCTCGTTGCAGAGTTGTTTGGAGTAAACCAGTATATTCCTGACTCTCGTCCATTTCTTATTTCTGCAGAATCCAGCTCTTCAGCTCCCAGAGAGAAAAAGTAAACAAACTGGTGTTGCCTCCAAATTTACCAAAGTCCAAAAACAAAATTTAAAAAAAAAAAGTCCCTGCAGACTGTGGTCTCTGACTCTGCAGCTAATCCATGCAACATTTGTATAAACTCTCTCACACTGTGTTAAAATATTAACAAAAAGTGAGTAAAAGTGTTTTAATAAACACTTCTTTTATTTGACTTATTAGTCAGGGGAGATTCTGGCTGCTCTGTCAACACCGTCCACACTCTCGTCTTGTGCTCGGTGTGCAGCCCGATCCCTTTCACAGCCGGCGTCATAAATTAAACATAGCATGTTCCTCCCGTGGGTGTCTGTTGGTGAAAAAATAGCTTGGTTTGGTGCACGGTGCCGTGCCTGTGCACGGAGCCTTTGTCTTTAATGAAGTGTTGCCACAAAAAGCCCACTGATCCTCCAGCTCTGTGTTCTGACTTTCTCAGACTCCCTGAGTGACTCTGAGCTCATTTGGTTACACAAGAGCTCGCAATTACCCAGAGATTTAGACACAGGGACATGGGATATTTCCATATCTATGACGGATGTTGTGTTAATTACATCAAACTCTTACCCCTTTGTGCTGATTTTTTTTCCCCTCCTTTTGCCGTGAATGCATTAACATTATAGTGTTTTTAATTTGAAACCATAGATCTGCTGAAAGCATGTGTCGTAGAGTTGTTTTTTTTTGTGGACAAAACTAAAAAAAAGAAGGCTAACAGCTGCTACTTAAATACTGAAGACTGTAATAACAAGAGGAACAATTGTATTTAACGCATAGCAAATACCATATTTTTCAGACTTTAAGTCACACTTTTTTTTATTCCTTTGGGTCTGCGACTTGTATATTAAAATATATAATTTCATGTGTTTGTTATTTTCACATTGACAGCCTCTAGGGCATACCACCTGGCTGCTGCGACTAATACTCCGGAGCAATTTATATATGTTTTTTTTTTTCTTTATGCATTTTTTGGCTGGTGCGACTCCAGAGCGACTTATAGATAATATATATAACTAAGAGCAAGAATATTATTAAAATAGTGCATTTTCGTCCCTGTTAGCAGGACATGAATTTCTCTGGAAGAAAGTCATTGACCACATATGACTTCAGACTTAACTTGATTTAGACTCTGGTTTAGACTCCAGCATAAAACAAGAAGCAGTGCAGAGACATTTGTTAAAAGATAAAGATACAATTTTGATGAAATAAGAGATAATAGGGAGACTCCCCCCACCCTCCCCCCTGCCTCCTCCCTCCCCCCTCCCCGAGCTCTCTCAGATACAGTGCACCATCTGTATAAAGTTATCTCCAATCAAGTTTCTAATTATGTTTGACTGAGGAGAAAAAAAATCATATATGAGCACAGAGGTGATAATTACATAGTAGGATCTTCCTGTTTGTGGGAACAGGAACATAAATGCATCAACACAAGTGATTAATTTAGGTGATAATAAGGGAGGTGGGAGCAGGTGTGTGTGGGCACACGTACAACTGCATGGTTTCTGGAAACAGGTGGTGAAACGCTGACATAGGTGAGAAACTTCATGATGATGAGGAGGAGTTACGTCATGACGTCATGGTAGCTGTGGATTAATAAGGATTAGCCACGAATAATCAAACATGATTATTTAAGGTTAATCAAGACAAATCAACGTTCCTAAATATTTTTTTTTGTAACAGCAGGTTGTAACAGAGGTATGTGTTCAACACCTGTTTTCATTTGTGGCAAATTCAAATGATGGAATTATTAATACAAAATATGGAGAAATTCAAGAAAAATATACAAAAATGTGACTCAAAATCCAGCTTCATGGAGCTGTTGGATATTAGTCTTCACCTGGCATCCTGAAGGTGACTTAAAGAAAGTTATTAAATTTGGTAGTGAAGGTGAGGGAGTTCAAAAGTTTCTTCACGGCATTCTTTACAGAAAACTTACAAAGACTTATTCGTGCCAGGAAGTAGCAGATATTCAAAGCCGGGAACAAAATTCAATGAATGTGTAATGTAGCGTTGAGTCAAATCTACACAGGCTGTGGGTAAATAATGCTGTGCTGGTCATGGGTTTGCTACCACATCCACGAAACTTTGAGTTTTCATCATGTTTTTGGTGTTTGTTTTGGTGTTAAATCAGGCAAAACAGTGAGAAATCAGCAAAGGATTGCTTCTAAATTTCTCCCTGAATTCTTGTAGTAGAGACCTTCAATGTCATGTCATACTGTATGTAAAGTTCACATTCACAATGTCTGATGTCCATCAGATGAAGAAGAAGAGGAAGTTGAGTTTTCATCATGTTTTTGGTGTTTATTTGTTTTGTTTTGGTGTTAAATCAGGCAAAACAGTGAGAAATCAGCAAAGGATTGCTTCTAAATTTCTCCCTGAATTCTTGTAGTAGAGACCTTCAATGTCATGTCATACTGTATGTAAAGTTCACATTCACAATGTCTGATGTCCATCAGATGAAGAAGAAGAGGAAGTTCACTATAAAATGACCATTGGTGTGCATGTGAGTGTTCATAGTTGTTATACTGCTGCTGAGATTGGGGCAATATATATATAAATATATGTATATGTATATAGAAATATATATTTTATGTATGTTTGTATATACGTTCATTATATGCATATATAAGGACAGGCATTTTTTAGGCATTTATCTACATTTAAATATATGTACATATATGTATGTATGTATATATTTATATATATATATTAGCTGGTTTGTAATCATTCTCTTTTTTATATATATGGATAAATGTGCATATAATGTATATGCACATATATGTGTATATGTGCGTATATATCTATAAATAGATAGATATAGATAGATAGATAGAGTATACGTGTATATGTGGATAGCAGTTCCTCCTGCAGGAACTGCTCCGTTGCTAACGGTAATATAAATTTGCCTGGAGCCTCAATCGATCTCTAGGAATAAGGTCACTGTGAGTGGAAATCATCAGGTGTAAAATTAAAAAGAACTTGTGTGTTTTTAATTTTCCTTTTTCAAATGAGTTTTTCAATTTAGTTTCTAACTAGTATTTTTTGAACTTGAACTTGTAACTCCACTCAATAATCCAGGGCTGAGCAGGTTGACTGAAGGTCATTTTAATGCCATGGCCTTAATTTAACGGCTTCATATTGAAATCTGCAGTCGCTGCGTCTTAAATTGACTTTTCAACGTTTATAGTTTTTACTGGCGTCTTTATTATTCCACTCACAACGCTATATTAAACATTACCCCATCATTGCCGCAGCCGCATTGCTAATGCACATTTATTGATGTGTTTTTTTTTTTCATTTAACACAGCCTACTGGAGCAGGAATATATTGTCATCCATACTTGGGGCTGCTACTTTTTTTTTACATTTTATGTTTTTCTTGACCGTTTACCCTCTTGTTCCCATTTCAAATATCCAGTTGAGGACAGACTTATAAGAATATTTCAAAGAATATGAAATTCTTTTGAAAGTATTTCCCAAGAGTTTTGTACAAAGAAAGTTATATTTATAACTCTTTTCTTTTCTTTTTTTCACCTTTTAGGCTTACTTACATCTTCTTCTCTGCTGAAGCCAGCCCTCCAAGCCATGCAGAATTATACTGAGGACAACTGAAAAGAAAAAACGACACGTCTCGGAAGTCCCATCTTTGACGGACAAAGCTGCTAAAATAAGGGTCAATATCTGACCAAAAATAATATATCTCTATTAATCCTCCACTGTTTCACCTTTTCTAAATCCATGTTTGTTTGTTTTTTCATCCTCACACTTAACCACTGCGTCTCTACTTGATGCCTCCTGATTCCCCAATCTGCAGTGTGGACCTGGGGTCAAATCCCAGAAGGAACGTGCATAAACGGCCTGTCAAGAAATGAAAAATCACTTTCAGCCTGTCCCTATCGTCAGAGGTTACCACTGTGGTAAGTGGATTTGATTTTTGATTTTCACAACAGATGCCTTTTCCTGACGTAGCCCAACCTTGGAATAAGGGATCAGGTTGTATTGAACCCAGAACCTTCTGCTGTTGGCCAATCACCTTTGTCTTTCAAAGAATAGTCACATTAAAAATAATTTGCATAAACTCATATTAATCAAATTAACTTGGCAACAGCAATTTAAAAAAAACGCTGTGAACCAGGCCGGACATTTTTAGGCTCCTGACACTTAAATGAACTTCTCTTGGTTCAGTGTTGTTTTTTGTGATTTGTGTAATTTATGTGTGAGGACAAGTCACTAAAATGTAAAAAAATAAATTAAAAAAAATCTAATTTTAATCGCCCCCCAGTCCCCGCCCCCCCAGGTAGACCCTCATTCCACT